GCTTGCTTTTTTAAAGTAATGGTTGTGGATGTTATTCATTTTTTATTATGAACATCTTTCTATTAATATATCTATACATGTAGGCCTATCCCATTCATTTTACAGGCCGAGTGGTATTCCATTAAGTGGATACACAGAATTTATTTATATGATCTGCTTTTATTGGACATCTGAGATATTTCCAAGTACTTCCAAAACTACAGTGACAACTCTATGCATACATACATTTGTGTGCACTTCTGTTAGCATTCTCTGGACTATGCGAATATCTTTTCCTTTGCTTTTTACTATAATAAGCAATTAGAACCTGTTTTTGCATACATCTCTGGGCACAAGTATAGTATTTCTAAGAATATATTCTTCAAAGCAATTGCTGGGTCAAAAAGGATGAATATTTTTAAAATTTACTGCCAAATTGCCCTCCTAAGATCTCACCAATTATATACTCTCACCAGTGAGAGTATGAAGGTGTCTGCATCCCTCACATGTGCTTCAACTCTGGTTGTTTTAAATTTCTTAATTTTTGCTAATTTGCTAGGTAGAAAGGTGATTTTTTTTAAAAAAGAATTGCATTACCCTGATCATTCATGAAGTTGAACATTTTTTAATATCTTTCTTGATATTTTTACTTCTCCCTTAGTGATTTCAGAGACTTTGCTGGTTTTTCTTTGTCTTTTGTAACATTGATTTACAGGAGCTCTTTAAACAACTGATGCTTTCTTAGTACTGTATCTGTTTTATATGCTATAAAAAATTTTGCCTAGCCTATCACTTATCTTTTAATTTTGTTTACCTTTGCCCATTTTTCTGTTGACTTATTTAGATTTTCCCGTTGATTTGTAAAGACTTTTTCTATAGTTAAGGATAGTAAAGGATAACTATCTTTGTCATAAATCTAGAAAATATGTTTGTTTTCTTTTTTGTTTTAGATTTTCTTGAGTGCAGAAGATGTTTTATTTTTGTTTTTGCACGTATATCTTTGTATATCATAAGTCTCTAGAAAGGTTTTCCACACCCTGAAATGAGATATTCACCAATATCTTCATTAGGTTTTCCTAGATGTGATTCTTTAATCCATCTGGAATTGATTTTGTTGTGTGGTATGCCATAGGAAGGGGCTTCCATGGTGGCTCAGGTGGTAAAGAATCTGCCTGCAATGCAGGAGACCCCGGTTTGATTCCTGGGTCAGGAAGTTCCCCGGAAGAAGGGATAGGCTACTCACTCAGTATTCTTGGGCTTCCCTGATGACTCAGAGAGTAAAGCATCTGTCTGCAATGCAGGAGACCTCGGTTCAATCCCTGGGTTGGGAAGATCCCGTGGAGGAGAGCATGGTAACCCACTCCAGTATTCTTGCCTGGAAAATCCCCATGGACAGAGGAGCCTGTCGGGCTACAGTCCATGGGGTCACAGAGAGTCGGACATGGCTGACAGCATGCCATAACAATCTAATTTTTTTCTTGCAAAATAGTCGGTCAAATTTCCCAATATCTTTCATGAAATTAGTCATCCTTTCCTCTGGTTTGTAATCCCAACTTACTCATACATTTTTTTATTTGGACTTGAAAGAGGTAGAAATGATTATTATCAGCAATCTTGACTTCATTTACAAGGGAGAGGTGAATTATTATTTGTTTTGGATGGGAAAGGAAAGTGTGGTGTGGGATAAAATCAGGAAAAGGCAGCTAAGATAGTCATGGAATTTGTTGTGAAAAAGGAAAGTCTGAGGCAGAAATGGGAAAAGAGGAAACTACTGAGTCATAGAAGGAACGTGTTATCAAAACAACAATGGCCACAGGGAAGGAATATTTGTGAGCGTCTCAAAAAAAGGAGGATGCAAACAGAATTGAGTTGGTTACATGGGGCTCCCAGCAGAAGGGAAAAAGTTGACAGTAAGTTCCGCTTGCACATGACCTAAGTGGCTATCACAAAGCTTGGCATAGAGTGCCTGTTTTGTCAGGGTTGTTAATTAATTAACAAATATAAAGAACTGGCACTGTGGCTATATATTGAATACATATGTGAGGCTTATACTGTAATATTTATATTATGTGAAACATACATATAAAGCTTTACTTTGAAGCTTAAAGTTTCACTGTGGTAATGTGTATGGCTCCACGCTCTTCTCTTAATTCACCCCACCCTCTCTTTCCCCGGCTGCGTCCACAAGTGTGTGCTCTGACTGCATCCCCATTGCTGCCCTGAAGAGAGGTCCATCGGTACCGTCTTCCTGGACTCCATACGTATGCGTTGATATGCGGTGTTTGTCTTCCTCTTTCTGACCTACCTCACTCTTTACAGTAGGCTCTAGGTTCAGTCGCCTCGTCAGGACTGACTCGGATGTGCTCGGTTTTATAACTGAGAGCATTTGCCGCGTGACACCGGGAGGTCAGCCCAGCACTCATGACTACCTGGAGAGGCGGGGTGGGGGCGGCCCAGGAGGAGGGGGCGCATGGACACTGTGGCTGACTCATGCTGATGTGCGGCAGGAACCAGTAGAGTATCGCAAAGCAGCTATCCTCCAATAAAAAATTAAAACCAAAGAGAAGCATTTAAAGTGATATATGTTCATTATTAAAAAGAGAGAAAATTGGAGATAGAATAATGCTAGCTACCTCTTATTGGGCACCAACTGGGGTTCAGAACTTTATTAGCCGCTTTACATATATGTGATTTCATAAAGAAGAAAATTAAAACCCCTGTAATCTCACCACTTGAGATCAACCACCATTAACACCCTGCTGTATTTCCTTTCCCTCCAGTCTCGTTCTTCTGATAAATGTTTTACAACAATATCTAACATTTATTGAGCTGTTACTCCCATGCCAGAACTAATAAAATAGTTTATTTAAAGCTTTTTTAAAAATGCTTTATTAAACCTTGTAACAATCGAAAGGGATATGCATTATTATTATTATTTTGATTTTATAGATAAGGAAATTGGGACTAGTGAGGTTAAATAATGGGCCCCTTCTGTATACTCAGTTTTGTAGATAGTTTTTTTATCACTTAAGCTTATATCAACAAAGTTTTCCCACATTATTAACTATCCCACAGAAGAGATTATTCAATAACTTCCTGTTCAATCGTTAGTGATTTTTAATAGAATAAATTATGCTGGTGGTGATCATTTTGAAATGTATAGAGATACTGAATCACTCTGTTCTGCACCAGAAACTTAACATAGTGTTGTAGATCAATTATACTTCAAACAAACTCAGAAAAAGAGGTAAGATTTGCAGTTACCAGAAGCTGGAGTGGGGAGAAGCTTGGGGGGGAATTGGATGAAGATGATCAAAAGGTACAAAACTTCCAGAAATAAGCTAAATAAGTACTATGGATACAATGTACAACATGATTAATATAATCAGCATGTTGTATGTTATATATGCAAAATGATGAGAGTAAATCCTCAGAGTTTTCATCACAAGGAAAAACTTTTTTAAAATTTTATATCTCTGTGAGATGATGGGTGTTCACTAAACTTATCATGGCAATTATTTCATGATGTGTATATAAGTCAAATCATTATACTGTACACCTTAAACTTAGTGTGTGCATGCTAAGTTGCTTCAGTCACGTCTGACTGTATGAGATCCTATGGACTGTGGCCTGCCAGGCTCTTCTGTCCATGGGATTCTCTAGGTAAGAATACTAGAGTAGGTTGCCATGCCCTCTTCCAGGGGATCTTCCTGACCCAGGTAATCAAACCCACATCTCTTACGTCTCCTGCGTTGGCAGACAGGTTCTTTACCTCTAGCGCCACCTGGGAAGCTCCTTAAACTTCCTGTTGTATGTCAATTACATCTCAATAACACTAGAAGAAAATTAATTAAACATGTTTTAAAAAAGAATAAATATTGCTGTTACTAACAACCTTGTAGTTAAATCTTTGTGCATATCTGAACACATAGATTAAAAAAAAAAGTGGAATTACTGAATCGACTTTTTTTCAGGCTCTTTCTACATATTGTCAAATTGCCTACCAGAATGCTTCAACCATTTTACACTCCACTAGCAATAAATGAAAGTACCTATTTAATTCCCTCGCCAACACTGAGTATTATTAATTTTAAATTCTAACCAATTTAAATGGGTAAGCAATTCATTTTTATCATAAAGGAACAACAAAACAGGCTTTGTTTCTTTCAAAATTTTAATTAAGCTTCTTTCATGTGCCAAGCACTCTTCTGGGGGCTAAGGATAGGACCGTGAACAAGACAAACCCAACCTCCGCCTTCTTGGAATACAGACTTAATACAGAGGTACATTCAACATGCAGTGAACAAATGTCAGGTGTTAACTCTGTAATAAGTACATAGAAGCACTTAGTGTTTATCAACTCCTTCTAAAGTAAAGCTCTAAGAACTCATCTGAGCCTCACAACAATTCTTTTGGTAGGTGCTATTATTACCCCCATTTACAGAGGAGGAAACTGAATCACCAAGAGGTCAAGTAACTTGTCCAAGGTCATACAACACGTATCAAAGGCTAGATTCAGACCCAGGCCGCTCAGACTCAGTGCCTTTAACAATTACTGTCCTTCTGTTGAAGGACAGAGCACCAGATATGCCGAGACACTGAAGAGCAGAAACAAGATAAGGGAAAACAGAAAAATTAAAACAAAATGGATCTTATTTGAATCCAGTAAAAAGATCAGAAATGGAAGTTCATTTGGGCCAGAAATATTACCATGAGATCGTGAACTGTGTCTTTTTCTCCTCTTCTGAGCAGGTGAGGATGACACGTGGCCAAAACCAGACCATGCATGCATGGGACGATAAACCTGGAACAGTCTGAAGGCAGAGGAAAGGACTAATCTAAATTCTCCAGCCGTGAGGCAGCGGAGGACGGAAGAAGGGAGCACCGGCGGCCTGCGCCTTCCTAGACCTGCAGGACGGGGAAATGCAAAGGGCGCGACCCCAGCAACATTAAAGACTGCACAGATGAGGGGAAACAGAAGCTTGCCCTTGCCCTGGGCTTCCGGCCAAGCGGGTTCCCACCTGGCCTGAGCTGCCGCCCCCGCTGGCGGGCCGGCTGCTCTGCAGGCCTTCGGGGCGGCCCCCCTGTGGGCTGCAGCGCCATCTAGCAGGGGTGATGGCGAAATGCGCCGGAGCCTCGGGGCCGGTCTGAAGCCCTTCAAAACGCGAGCCCCCGCTGAGCTCCAGGCTGGGGTTGCACAAGGGACGAACACGTCCCCGTCCTTGAGAAGGCCAGCGTCCGCCTGAGGAGACCGTCACAAGTTCTGGAGCAGGGATTTACGCCGGTGTTTGTGGGACAGGCGTCAAGGCAGCCGACCTTCCCTGGGGTTCAGGGAAGGCTACACGGAAGAAGCAATCTCCAAACCAGGTCTCAAAAGATGAGGGATTATTTGTCAAGTCACACAGTGGGACTGAAGTTCAAAGGGCCAGAGATTTGAAAGAGTTCAGTGCATTCAGGCCAAGTGCAATATTCAAACCACAATCCACTGGCCACTTTACAGACCCAACTCACTTGTTGCAAGTTTAACGGATGAAGTTACCAAGATTCAGGCAAGGAGGGGAACTCATGCGGTTCATACCCAAGTTAGAAGTGTCCATGATGGAACTCAAGTCTCCAGGCCACAGGAAGAAAAGGCCTGCCACCGCTGTCTGGAGAATGTCACATCATCTGGCTCGACTAGCTTCCACACATGGAAGTCAGACCGTGAACTCAAAAAGACTTGCTTGCGTTCAAGACCTGCCTCTGCCCCTAGCGCGGTGAGTTTCGTCACGTCGCTTGTCCTTCTTGAGTCTCGGTGTTCTTATCTGTCAGACGGGAACCATCATGGTCCCCATGTTTTGTGTTTGTCATGAGACTCCAGTTAATTGAGTGCTTGGCACGATGCCCAGTATATGCCAGATGCTTGGGGATCGGAAACGGAAGTCTGCAGTTTCAATATCATCACTTTTTACTGCAGCATGGTGATATTTTTCTTATTTGAAAACATTTATTATTATTATTGACTCTTTACTCTTTATTATTTTTACTGTTTCTTATTACACAGTGAGAACTTACTGAAGGAACTGGGGCTATTCTGTCTGAATAAGGATAAAAACAGAAGCCATAGTCCTGTTTTCAGAACTTGCAGGGGTGGGCTAGAACAGAAAGGGGGGAGCTCATCTGAGGGGCCCCTGGGGACCAAGCCAGGCACAGTGGGTAAGAGCTGCAGGAAGGCAGATTTTAGTTTAGTGTAAGGAACTTGCTTACTCTTCAAGTGGCCCTGGGCAGACGTTATTTACTTGTTGTTAGAAATGTTGAATCTAAGACTAGATGACCGTTGATCATGGCCGCACCGCACCTTTCATGGGGCAGGAAGGCATCTAGTCCATTTCACTGCCTGATGCCTTAAACATCTAATTGAGCTCTGCTTTCTAGAGGAATATGATTTGATTAGGTCATCTGGGAAGACAGCTGTCTATGTTTATGAATTTCAAAATCGTGATCAATGTTCAAAGATGTCAGGACCCAAAATATATAACCTTGTTTATCAGAGTAATTCATTAGATTTTAGCTGGAAACGTGAGGAAGAGGCTGAAATGCCCATGTCAGCCTGGAGACGGGGGGATGGGCCTGAGAAACAGAAAGCAGCTGAACCTTACTCCCCGAGCGCTGCCAGAACAGTATGTCTTCATCCTGAGGGGATGGGAAGGGCTCTTAGGGTCCTGATGGCCACACAGGGTGCAGAGGGAGCACCTTAAAATCATTAAATAACAGAACACATCACATACTCACTATTCAAACATTAATGTGGGGTCTGCTACATGCAAGCACTTAAAATATAAAAGTGAATCCAAAAACCAGAGTCTAGCTGAAGCCAGGAGATGTAGAATCTAGGAAGGTAATAAGACCTGGGCACAGAATAACTTCAATCCACAGTGGGAAGGACTAGTGTTACTAGGCAAGTCCTGTGGGGTCACATGACCTTCGCTGGAGGCAGCAGTGGAGGAAGTGACATTTGAGCGGGTCCTTGAATAACACCTAAGGTCTGAACCCAGAGCGATGAGAGGAAGAGCTGCTTAGGGGAAGCAGCAGAGTGAGCACAGGCCGCGGGACCTGAAGCAGCGGGCTCGGGGGTGGGCGGAGCCCCCCGTGGCTGGGCCTAACGAAGTATAAGGGCTGCTGGTGCAGGATATAAGATCAAAGAAGGCGTCACACAGCAACTCGCCTGGTGGGTGTGTACCCAAAAACTGAAAACGCGCCTCCATGGGAAACCTGTGCGTTAATGCTCATAGCAGTGTTACTCGTAACAGCCAAAAGATGGACACAACCCCAATAAAGCATGCGTGTCTGTGCAACACAATGGTGTTCAGCATTCAGCAGTAAAAAGGAGTGTAACAGCGACACGTGCCATAGCATGGATGGACCTTGCAAATGTGCTAAATGAAAGAAGCCAGGTACAAAAAAAACACCTATGATGTGATTCCACTTACATGAAAGGCCCACAATGGGCAAATCAATAAAGACAGAAAGATTAACGATCGCCTGGGGCCAGGGGCATTAGGAGGCAATAGCTGGAGAGCATGGGCCTTCTGTTGGAGACGATGAAAATGTTCTGAAACTGGTTACAGTGATGGTTGCACAACTCCATCAATGTACTGAAAACCTGGAATTGTACCTTTTATTTTTTTTTGAATTGTACCTTTTAAATGAGTAGATTGTGTGGCATATAAACTGTATATTAATGCAGCTATAACACACAAGCAAACCAAATAGTCCTTCCCAGAGTCAGTGAGAGAATCAGTGAGACAGCAGAAAACACTAGTTATCTGCCCCCCCCCCCCGCCCCATACAGAAAGGGACATTAAGGTCCAGGGGAGGGAAGAGTTCACCTGGGTCTCGCAGTGAATCAGCAACAGAGGTGGGACCACACAGCTCTGCCCCCTGCCTCAGGGTCCCTGCGGTGCCCGCAGCTATTCTCCTTGCTTTTCCACTCCCAGAAACACATCCCTCAACCAGAATTCATAGCCCTGGCTGCCTGACAGTCTACCTGGAGAAACCAGGAAAGAGCAGCAGAATCATACGATTTGTTTCTGAATGAGGGGTGGAAAAAGGCGAGGTTTATATCCCCTTTGTAATATTCTCACCAGATGGGCATCCAGCCGTTTTGAGCATCCCCGGTGACAGGGACATTGGAACCTCCGAAGTACCCTCCTTCCGTCTCTGAGCAGCTTTGCGGTGAACAGAATTCCATCCCCATTTATTCTCTGTGTGGGGAGACCTCAGGGGCGTACTTCAGCCAGACCTCTGTGGGAGGCCATAATCTGGCTGCAACTGTGTTTGTGTCTCTTTCCCTCACCAGGTCGAGTGCTTCTAAGGGCAGGGCTGGGCCTGAGTTTATATTCCCATGTCCTGAAATATAGCCAGACACAGGGACGGCAGTCCAGAATGCTTGGTGAAAGAACGAGTGAACCACAAAGAGAAACTGTAGGGTTGATACACCCCCGTTCATCTTAGAGTCTGCTGCAGTGGCCCTGACACATCCTGCCTCAGACCCTTCCCATGTCTCCTGTTTGCCCTCTAGAAACGATTTACATCAATCCAATAAATACGTATTGAAGGGATAAGTATTCTGATCAATCTAGCAGAGATTGGAGTCACCCAATTAAAACCCGTGGACCAAATCAGGTCCGTCAACTGTTTTGTAAATCAAGTTTTATTGGAACACAGCCCCATTCACTCATTTACATATTATCTATGGCAGCTTCTGTGCTAAGAGGGCAAAGTCAAGTAGAAGTAACAGAAGAAGTATGACCCCAAAAGCTTCAAATATTCACTACCAGGCCCTTTACAGAAAATGTTTACTGACCCATGTGCTAGATGCTGAGGATTCTGCAGTGGGTGAAATATACATGGTCCCCTGATGCTTATAGACTTGACTATTCCACCTCTGGCCCTTGCCTGTTCCCCACTGCGCGCTATCCAAGGTCTCTGAGAATACACCGGTTCCTAGATTTTGGAATTCACAGATCAATAAAAACAATTTTGCTTTAATCACAGAGGACTGACATAGGATTATCAGATAGGTACATTTTAAAAAACCAACTACCATCTAATATCACAGTCGCTTTATAAGGAAAAAAAAACATTTCACATTAAAAAGCAGCAAGTCTGTCTCTAAAAATAAAGTAGAATTACACAAGCTACATTAGTTTTCCAGAATTCATGCTATGGGCTTTATTTTCCCCATTGCTATGAATAATGGCCATTCTTCACTAATCAGCACAGATCTGTAGGCAGAGGCAGAGGACCTTTGATCTAGTTTTCTTTGTATTACCCATGGCTTACTTTGTAAACTTACTTTGTAAACTGGCTTACTTTGCATTACCCATGTTTGCTCTGATTCCTCCCATGCGATTCTGCATCCACAAAGCTCTTTCTCCTATTCTCTTACTCCTTGTTCACAGCCCAGCTCACAAGCAGCAGAGAACATAAGCTTCCCACCACCAGCTGCTCAAAGGCGCCCTCAGGCTGTGGCGGCACCAGCGAGGGACACGGCTCGGCAGCTCCGTCAGCCACAGGTCAGGGTGGCAGGAGGGCCGCCGGGACCGCGGCCCTTCCTCTGGCACACGCAGCTGAAGGCGTTTGACACAGGCATGCTGACGGCTCCACAGGGAAGGTTCACACCCAAACGCCTGAGAGGTGAGCACGAGCTTCCTGACAAGTCTCTCACAAGGACGCTGGGCAGCGGCCAGCTCCCAGTCAGCAGGTGGCAGCGGCAGCCGCTGAGAGAGGTCGCCTTGCTGGCAGGCAGCCCCCGGATCCCGGGTACTCGCTGCTCACATGAGGCTTCTGGAATCCCCTTGTATGATCCCGAGGTCTGGGGGAAAGTAAATTATGGCTCTATGATGAAGATAATCCCAGCGCGGCCTGGTGCCAAGCATGCTTTTCTGCCTAACTCTCCTTCAGGGACAAACATTCTCCAGACTCCCCAGCTGACCCAGCACCTCCTCCCTCCCCCAGCCCATGCGCCTGTGTGTGTGCGTGTGAGATCACTCTTGCAAACCCTCCACCATGGGTGAGATACGAACAGTAAGCATCCCATCTCTTTTCACCACATTTCTCTAACTGCTCCCCCCATTAGAGTGAGAGGCCTCCTTGTCCTTCCGAGTGGATTTGTAACCAGGCTGTTTGGCCTCTTGGTCCATTTAATCACTGCGAGACACAAGTGGGGGAAAGGTCTAAATTCTGAGGGGCAGTCAGAGCCCCGTGGCCGCACTGGGGAGAAGTCTCGGGCTCACTTGGCTCCAACACCTCCCACCACCAAGAGGAGCACTCGGGCCCGAGTCGGGGAGAGAGCTGCTCAAGGCCCCATAGAGGGAGGTGGAGCTAAAAAGAAGACCTCCGTGGTCAGCCCACACCTCTTCAGCTGGACGCTGAAGTGTCCAGATCCCCATTCCTTATAATTCAGAATGAAGGTCGTTTTCCTTCTGGAAAACAGAAGAACAGGTACCAGCTCAGATCAGGATGTGATCAGAAAAGCGGAGGCTGGCGAGAAGGGAGTATGTCCCAGGCAAGACAGCTGGCACAGAGACACTCAGCCTTCATAGTAGCATTTCCA